TGTCTTGCCTAGCTTAAAAGCACCATGACTAAAAATTAAGTAGCATCTTTATACAATTGTAGTATCAGCATTTTGTACGTGACAATGACAGAGCTATGCAGGTGTGAAACAACCAAAAAAAGAGAAATGAACATTGTATATTCCATGCAAATCAAACCTCCCTGAAGTACAGTTTGCAGAGTAATTTCTTTTTTTTCCTGTACAACATCCATGTTGGACTTCAAAGATGAACTGCAAGCACTGGCTTATTCATAGGTTTAACTAAACTGTAGTAGAACAACCCCTCTGACCTACTCCTTCAGTAATAGCTTTGAATAGATTGTATTTAACTGGTAGTATTCCTGAGGAATAAAAATACACAGAACCTGGCACTTGCTAAAAGGTACGCTGACTTCAGACAAAATCAAGTTACGAACAAGATAAATTGTGCATTGCTTTTAAATAGAATTTTCTTGCTTCCAAGAGATTATGAGTGCTTCTTTTGGTAACATTTTATTTAAATGGTTTAGATAAGGGATGAAAAGGAAGGATTCATCTCTCTCTGATCATTGCCATAGCTGAGAGATGAGAATTTAAGGAAACTCATAATTTAATAGGGACACCTTTATATTATGTTTTACCTGAACTTTCTCTGGATCATTGTTTGAGAGCAGCTGTCTTTTATAAAAATGCATTCAGGGACATAATGCTACATGTTCCTTCTTGTTCCAGATGACTGATCGTGGTGGAGGTGTTCCTATGAGGAAAATTGACAGACTATTCAACTACATGTATTCAACAGCACCACGTCCACGTGTTGAGACATCACGAGCTACACCTTTGGTACACAAATATTTTTACATCTTGTCATCTTGGATATGTTTAATTGTCACAAAAGAAACCATTTAGCCAAAGCTATGAAGTACTGATTTTATAGATACAAGTATCACCATTTAAATGTTACAGCTTAATTCAAATATTTTTCTGAAAATAACTAGAAAATTGCATAAAATCCTAAAATGCTACAAATTATTTAAACTTGTTCAAGATTCTGTTTTTCTCTACCAAATATAAAGAGCAGCTACCTCAAGCAGAACACTTAGCTATGCTGCTGTATGTACTGCAGTAAGGACAGGATTCCAAATTCTTGTCGTGGCCACTGAATGAAAGGAAAAATAATATAGCAATATTTTGGATCAAGTCCATAGTTTCATTTGTACTGTGTTGTACCATTGCCCAGCAAGGATGAAGGTATGCAGATGTGACAGGGCATATGAAGAATCTACTTTGGTCTCATATAAACTTAATAGATGCACAAGAAATAAAGCCTTAGCTCTCAGTAGGAAGCTCTGAACAGCTTTCTTGAATTTTCTCTCACATTGCATCATTCAAAATATGTTTTTTAATTTTAAATGTATGTAGTGTTCTGCATCTAGATGACTCTGCAACTCATTAAACACTAGATCTTTACAGAGAAGTGCTGTGTATTGTATGTTCATTGAGATTACCTTTAACATGTACTAGATAAAAAAACCCCTTGTACTTAACACTTCGGGGCTATGTCCTGCTACTGCAGACAGAGCTTGATAGAATTTTAGTATAAGCTATAAACTCATAGACGTTGCTTCTTGGACCTTTTTTATGTATACTGATGATGAAATGTATTTGACTGAAGTACTCCGTGTTCTCAAGATTAGCAGCTCCATGAGGCATAAGACAGACTCAGTACAGTCTTCTCTAATTGTGTCATGTCTTCTTGAAAAAGCTACCATAATACAAGTGCTAGCTAGCAGCCCTGTCTGACAAGGGAATAAAACAGTTTTCTCATAATCACAACCATCCATGCATTCTTCTATTTCTCGGGTGTATAATAATTCTGGGTGGCATAATAGTTAACATTTGAACTCCTTCTCTTACTGTCAAACATCATGCTTAGTTTGTCTACCTATTAAGCGAAAACAGAAAACACCACTGATGATGCAGTTAATGAAAACGTACTTTTTCTCCTGGTCAGGCTGGATTTGGTTATGGCTTACCCATATCACGACTGTATGCACAGTACTTCCAAGGAGACCTGAAACTCTATTCCTTAGAAGGCTATGGTACAGATGCAGTTATTTACATAAAGGTATGATGTAACACTTCACCATTTAAAATTTATCAGCAACTCTAATTAACTGCTAATTGAACTCCTTGTTCTGTTACTATAACTTTGACTAAAAAGAATCATCAGCTGTATCTTCTCTACTTACAGGCCTTATCAACAGAATCAATTGAAAGACTCCCTGTATATAACAAAGCAGCCTGGAAACATTATAAAGCAAACCACGAAGCAGATGATTGGTGTGTGCCAAGCAGTGAGCCAAAGGACATGACCACTTTTCGCAGTATATAGCTGTTTCCTCAACAGTTTGTAAGAAGTAGGTATGTCTGTAAAGGGAATTTAAAAGTCCTGATTTACAGCAAGATGCTGAGCAACATTTGATATGTGAAAGTAATTTTAAGTGGAGTAACAGAAGGTTTGATGTAATGACTCTTTTTTGGAATTTAAAACAAACAAACAAAACCCAAGACAAAACCCAAGAAAACCCCCAAACCTGTACATACTTTTAAATTTTAAGTGAGAAGGTCACACTTAATTTGTTCCACCTTCTATTTATGACTGCTTGCAGTAGCTAAGTCAAGGGAGCAGTGATTTCAGGTTTTATAGAGACCAATGCAATCTATATCACATCTGGTGAGAAATGTATTAATTCATACAATTACAAAATTGTTTTAAAAGAAGATCTATTGAAAAAGCTCACCAGAGCATTTTTCCATTATACAATATTGTAGATAATTAATAAATCACATAAGAAACACTGAGGAGCTCATTGCTATACCTTTGCCATACAGGTGCACTTTCTATTATCTTAAGCATGCTGAAGCCTAATTTTGCAAAGTTAGATATGTTGCCTACACACCTTGTCTACATCAAGGTTTTTACAGCTGTAGAAATCACTCTTAGGTCTGTAGGTATTTAAAAAAAAAAAAAAAAATCACTTCTAGCTGCTACCACTGGTATAATGTATCTCAGGTATGTGGTATCAGTCATGTTTCTTTGGTTGTAATGTGAATATTTAATACATGTGAAAAACTTACTTTGCCACGATCATTGTGAATTAGCAAATGGTGTTGGCTTGTGTGCAGTAAAGATATGCTGTCTTGCATTCGCTTACATTTCTGTAAGGTAATACCAAAATGCAGTATCAATGTTCTATCCCTAGTAAGATCTTAGACTCGGGTATGTCATGTTACAGCTGTAAATGGAAACTATTTTAATAAACAGATTTTTAAAATTTGCCCTTAATAGGGCATCTCTATTACTTTTAAAATAGAAACTACCTTCTCAGGAAAAATGGAATTAAGTTTTTGAAAATACCATTGTATTTGTGATGTGCTTCTGGCCTCATTTATGTAGTAACTGGCAGTCACACTGTAACATAAATAAGGTAAGCAGAATGTGTTTATCTGTCAAAGGCAAACTGCCAAACGTACTGGGAAAGATAGGGAGGGGAAATGAGTATTACATTTCAGGTACAAAGTCCTTTTAATAAAGAAATCAACTTCTTTTAATGCCTATTGTGCCAGCTTTGTTCAAATCGTACACATATATGTCGCACCTCGATCCCTGTCACTCCTGAACATTTTAGGAGTGATGTAGTTAAAGACGCTTCAGAACTAAGCCTTTTTCGCAGTTAATTCATTGCATGCAGGTCTCTGACTTTTGTTCCTCAGCAGGCATGCATAATCCCTGTCAGAAAGAATAAATGTAAATTTTGCTAGTTTACTAGCTCTGCACAAAGCAGAAGGCGAGATACCACAAGTGGTGGGATAGCTGGTAGGTTAGAAATTGGAGTCATGCTATTCTAGGTGTAGCTGAGCCAGATTAAAGATTATTACCTGCTACCTCCCTAGCCCAGTTCTGCAAAACATTAATGTTGTTCTATACCCGGGTCAAGCTAGTGTAACAGGAATGATTTACAGAACAGGCTGTATACACGCTTAAACTGACACTTTGAGTGAGGATTATTCTAGGTTACTTGCCACCGGAACAGTACAGTTACCTGCTCCACTCAAGCTTGTGGGCACTGTGAGAGGTCCCTATTTTTCTTCTTTACAAGGATGTGAGGTGGTGACTGGCGTACCTTTCAATCTGCGTGGCTGCAACTGGAGAGAATTTATAGCTGTTCTCTTCTTTAACCCTGCAAAAGGATGTAGGCAAGAAATTCCATGTTTTAAAATGGGGCCTGTCAAAAGTTAGAGGGAATGCTTGCAGCTATTGATTTTGCTAAACTAAAGCTGAAGGTTACAGCAAGGGAGTTTAAAAAAATCAGCTCTGTAGCTGGACATTCTAGCATTTACCCTAAGTTTTAAATGTTTAACTTAATGAACTGATTTTAGTAATACCCAAGAACTACAAGAGATGTTTCCAAAGATAACCTAACAGTTTGCTTTCTAGAAATTCTATTAAAGTATTTCATATGGTATTATTGAAATAAGAACCTCTTTCACACTCTCTGCTAGCTACTGATTGAATTTTGATTATTGCTGTGTAATTATATTTGTATCTATCTCCTCACCCGCCACCCCGAGTAACTGTGGTGAAAACACAAATGTTGTAATATTTTGGTTTACAATGTTAAACCCGACTTAGTGGTTTGATCTTTGAATAGAAGTTCAGAAGATAATTTGTGTTTAATATTTTCACTACTGTACTGAAGTCATTGTTAGCACACTGGTTAAGTTGAAATGGATCACTGTAGAAAATCAGTATACTAGCTCAGCTATCAAAATGCTGAGATTAATAGTTTTGTATGCAAATGAGCTCAGTCTTGCACTGTAAAATTAATCTTTGTGTTACCTTAATTTTTTTGAAAGAATCACTACATTTATTGATTAAAACTATTAAACTATTGATTAAACTATTAAAACTATTTTAAAAATTAAGCTTTCAGTTGGGTGATTTTGTGGCTTGGTACTAAGCTAGTTCTGTGGAGCCAGCCTTCTCATTTAGCCTCTCCACAGATGTTAAATGCTGTGGTCTGTGATAATCAATGTTCTTACGCTCAGGTGCCAGGTGAGTTACCTTCCCTGCCATGGCCCCGCGTAACTACATCAGCTCTGCACAGGCAAATCTTTGAAAACCATTATTTTCCCTAGTCTCCTTCCTGAGAAACAAACTCTTCACAGGGTGCAATGTTCAGTTCAGTAGGCTTAAAGGAAAAAGCTAACAGCATGGTTCTATCAATATTCTCTGTTCTAGCTGAAAGCACAACTGAGAAATAAAATTCCTTGACTGGATTGATCGAAGGGTAGTTTTATGTATGTGATCCTAACCATTTCATCATTCCATACTTTTAATTCCCTTCTCTTTTATCAGTAGGGCAGCATTCCTCTCTGGCTCAAGGTCTATAAGTTTGGAATACTAGAAGCAAAAGAAATAAAGTTAAATCTTGACCAAAGAATTGTTTCTTAATGCACAAAACTGAAAATTGAACCTCTTCTTAGAAGTAATTATTACCAAGATTTTCAAACTTTATTTTGGAAATGCATAGTGTGCAGAAGCATTTCCACACAGTCCTTTTACTGAAATTTGTAAAACATTTACACAAAAAATTACTAACTGTGAAATACCAACAGTGAAGTTCATTCATTTAATTAAAATGAAAAACAGTCCATAGATTTAAAGGAGAACTTGGTCCACATAAACAAATTATGTAAATTTTTTTCTAGTCCATTCTATGGTGGAATTGATATTTAAACTAGTCTATGTTTCTGCAATCTAATTAAAGGAAGTGCTGTTGTAGTATCTCTAGAAAATATACAAAAACACCAATTCATGTTCTAAACTATTCTGAGAATCAAATCCTCCTTTAAAGAGAAATCATCTGTAGTCTACAATCGCATATTTAAATACAATGGAGAAACCCAGTGCTTCAGTGATAGTTTCACTACAATTCTTCCCGCAGTATTTTAAGTTTGAAAAACAGTATAGTTTAAAATTAGCAAATATATAAATTTGGTCCACAAAAATCTTGTAGCAGGTAGAAAAGAGAAATACATGTATTGCAAATTGATCTTATTCATAGCATAAATCTATAAAACTATGTATTATTTAGGAAAAATAGGTTAAAAAAGATCTTATTTATAGGTTTAAACCTTCTCCCAACACCATATGGGTAGTGTACAGAAAACTTATTATTATGCTTAGTATATGTAGTTTGTGAAAACTACTTAATATTTCTAGTTATTTTCTCAGTAACTTGCAACACAGAATTAAAAAAAAATGTGCTACTACAGTGAACTTCAAATGAAAATCCCAGAAATACAAGACTTTAAACAAAATAATCCATAAATTTGAAATACATGCTTTCTTTTTAAATTAATTTGACATTACAATTTCTTAATTTTTACTATACATCTTTCGCGGCAACAGATAAACAGACTGTCACAGACTGAATTTGTTGGCAGGATTTTTCTATTGTCCCTCTATCAGATTCAACTCTATCAAATACTAGTTGACTAATATTGGAATGATTTTCAATACAGTATTCTGCTTTTCACAAACATCAGTTTCAATGAAAAGGGCATATGAGGTCTCAGAAGCACAAATATTACTTAAGGCAGAATGTTAAATTATTGTCTATCAGCATAGGGAGAGTCAACTAGGAATAAAAATACTGAAAACATTATTTCATTTTATTGGGTTGTAATGGGGAGGGACCATAATTAAAAAGTAAAAAAGCCCTACCACATTAAACTGTTGCACTTTCCCTCCTCCCTCAATTGTACAATTATATACATATCCGAACTTCCTCAAGATCAAGCAAGTTACGCTAAAACAGGGTCATTTCAGCAGCTTGATTCAAGAGTGGCTACCACTCTGCCAGTCTTGCGAACTTCTTTCTCCTTCTTCTGAACCTTTTCCTTCTGCTTTTCCAGTTTTTCTTGTGTTTTTCTAATATCCTTAATTTTTTTCTTTATTGTTGACCGGTCATTTTGACTGGAAACTCCCAAAGCCTGGGGGGGGGG